ATATATATATTCCTATTTTTGTAGCTCATTATGTATTTGCACTGGTGAAGGCATGGATATGTTTTAGGACACATGCTGTTGTCAGTTACAGAAGTAATGTTAATACTGTCCAGAGAAGTTTTAGGATGTCAGTTTTCTGAAATTTTACAAATTACAGCATGCAATGATAACTTTAAAAAAAGGTACGCTATTTATAAGTAACTGGACTTGACACTTTTCCTTCCTCTTCTCTCCCTTGATGATGTGTAGGTAGTCTCTTGTAACACTGCAGAAGATATATTTGATTTGCTTTAATTCCTTCCTGTTCAATCTTCACTTGTACATCAACTGCAATAAAATACAAACACCTGGCTTGAAGCAGTAATGTCACATGTTGTTGCTACAGGCAACATCTCCTCTTTTAATCATGTGGATTCTTTCTTTGCTTTTTCTGATAGTATCTTGAAAATATTGATTGGTGGACCACCAAAGCAACACTTTCCTTTCCTTACAAAAATAGAAGCAAGTGGCAAAAATATTTCAATGCAACTAATTCAATAGTGAATAGAGATACTAAATTCAGTTTCCTTTGTGGTGAGCTCTTTGCTGTCTGGCAAACAGCATCCACACAGAGTAAAATGCTTTTTGGGGAAGAGACTTTATAGAATGTTGGTCTCTAAGGACTTCTAAACAGCAATTTCTCTGCGCCACCAACTATTTAGGACCAATGCTGCAGGTTACTGAAAGCTGAAAAAGACATTTAAGGTCTTCAGAACTAGCCAAGAGATGGAAAGCTCCATGAGACACAGTATGACATTTGTTGGACTTCTTGGCTGAGCCTCCACTTCTTCATCTAGTAAGGGATAAATCCCGCCACTGGACTCAGGATGACCAAAGAGAGAGGGTTTGTTTTTTTGGCATATGTTTCCTAGGCCACACCGCTGGAGTGGTCATTTATTGGAAAGTGACAGATGGGATGTTGCCTTGGACCTGTGGAGACCATGAGTAGCGTAGGGTTATCTTGGAAGAATTCTCAAATTTGAAATTATTTTGTCTATTTTGCTGAATGTGAATTTGTAAACCAGAAAGCTCAATGCTTACAACAGTGATGGCTTTCAGAAAGTCAGAAATGAGGACTGAGAGAACCTTTGCCTTAAATGTATTTATATGGCTAGTGCTTGATGGAATGAACTGTAGGCATAAATTCCTGAAAACAGTACCCTTTTGGGAGTGCTGGTGTCCAGACAGTCTTACGGCATCTTTCTCCCATTGGTCTCTTCAGAAACCTGTCATACCATGTGTGTTTGGCTGGTTACCAGGTGAATTTTCAAGGGATAGAAGACATGAGAAAAACCCTTTATTAATCACATTTTAAAGATGGAGTTTGTTTCCTTTATATAAGCTTGAGGATGAATATACCTTTTTGTTTGTTTGTTTTTCTCTTAAACTGGGGGAAAGCAAGTGAATTTTACTCTTGGTAATTTCAGGGCCAGCAGCTGTCAGCTTTCTCCTAGAGAGGACTGTGTTTGCCCAGTGCGTCTCTTTTTTGGAGTAGGAGGTACTGCTTGTGTCTCTGTATTCACTCTTGACCAGACAATGCAAATATGTAGAGAAGGATGGAAAGCATATACCATGTGGCAGGCATGAACTGCCTTACCATGAATGATGCTGCCAACTGTCCCCTTTGGCTGAAATTTGCCTCATCAACTCATCCCCACTGGAAATGTTAGCAATGCAAAACAGGGAATTATTGCCTTTACTGCGTAGGTGGGATGTTGAAACAGAACAGCCTGGATTCATCGTGCTTTACCCTAAAATATTTGGTAAGTGGGGATGTAGAAGTTCAAGGTCCCCTTTCTGTCAGTGGCAAGAGATCAGCATTTTCAGATGCAAAGCAGCCCACCCAGGATGTGATTCACCATCTACAGGTACCAACTTCTTTCCCTCATGTATAAAAGGTGCATAAATCTACTACGTTTAAAGTTAAGGGCCTCAGCTCATGCCTAAATCTTTATAGGATGAGCCCAAATCAAAATGATGCTGTTTGTTAGAGTATGGCATAACCAGAAACTGAACTTTAATGTCTCGAAACCCTGTGATGCTGTAATTTGTAGCCCAATCTGCTTCTTCAGCATTCAGTGTAATGTTCAGTTGCCCTAAAAAATGTAAATAACAGAAATACTTAAAAATCAAGTATATGTCTTGGAATGACATCTGTGCTCCTTGGATAGGAAAGATAAGGATGCTGAGAGTGTTATAAAAAAGTACACATGCAAGAAAAGTGTTACAATAGGCAAGAAGGTATTGTCACCTCATTATTTGAGCCAACTTCCCCCCTGCACTCATCCAGAGTATTAATGGGCATCTCAAGCTTCTGTGCTGATGGATAAGCTGGGATTCACAATGTTTTAATACAGCCTGTGTTTAGAGAGTTTCGCAAAGAAAGAATTGTTAATGAGTAATCTTTGTCCATTAGGGCACTGAGCCAAAGAGCCCAAGCTTTGATTCATTGTGTTATCACTACAGGCTTCTGCTAAACTTAAAAAAGAAAGAAAAACAAACCAAAACAAAAATTTCCTCTGTGAGAATCATCAGGATACTGAACTGAGCACAGAGCTCTCTTACATCCTGCTATCCACAGTCTTCCAGAAAAGAACAGTAAGTAATAATTCCTTAAACTGATAGCTCTTGCTGTTGGGTAGTATAAAAGCAATTTTCTAACCTGAACTATTTAGTGGATGTTAATGGATTTTTGGGCAGAAAAAACCCCCAAAACATTTTCAATGCTAGTACTTTTTTGAAGAATAATATAAAAAGTCATTTCATCTACAAAATTAGTGCAATTTTTTTTCCCTTGGGGGGAAAAACATCTTAAGGTCATGAAAAATACTGACAATGCTGGAATTTGTCTTTAGGAAGCTGGCTATTGTGTATCACTGGTAAAAGAAGTGTAACTTTGATACTGAGTCTTTCCTGCAATAACAAGATCTAGTTGATCATGTGCATCAGCTTTAAAATTGTACTCGTTTGTTACTTTTTTTATACTTTTAGGAACAGAAGGTGTTGTAAACATGATTAATGGGAGAAAAACAGACAATACAGAAAGGGAATAGTTATATTTGTTTTATGTAATTTCTTTGACAGTTTTGTGTACAGACTCCAGGTGCATCTTAAGAAGTCCAGGACTTTAGCACTTATTTCACATGACTAGCACAAGCAAAAAGGGGTTTCACATTTTGAGTGATTACTGTTTGAATCCATTATCAGTTTTTAAGAAGATGTCAGCTTATTCTGTGTGTTTCTGCTAGCCATTTAACTTCAGAAAACTATAATCATGGTAGGACATTTGGCTTTTGCTAATTTTATCCCTAATTGCTTGTGTTACAAAGAACCTAGAGATACCAAACTGTATTGTGATCCCACTAGGCTAGATGGGGATACAGCAGTGGGTTAAGAAAGGAGGATTTGCAGTTTTATCAGGTGAGACATGAAAAAGATCCTGGGAAAAGGAAGACACAGTAGGTCACCCTAGGGGCAGTCAGAAGCTGGCCCCACCCTTTGAAGTTACTTGCCTACCTATGGAAGTGCCATTGAGGCTTCTGGTAGACTTTTCAGTTCTACTTTGGCTGACTTAATTCTGAAATGGAAGTAAGTCTTAAAGCTGTAAAAATATCCTATATTTTTTCCTGTGCCTCTTTGCTGCTCTGACTTTAAATGTTGTATTAAAAATGTAACCAATAAATTTCAAACACAGTAGCACTAGTCCTGCCTCTGGTTCTCAAACTTGCTCGTTTTGTTGCATCAGCTGCTGTGAAGCTGCCCGTGGTGCCAGGCATGCTAGAATGATCTGGCAGCAAAAGGCTAGAAACAAGGAGCACAAATCTTCCTAATGCTTTCATGTCTCTTTCATAGATTTTAAAACAAACAAGCAAGCAAATAAAAAAGCCTCTCAAATAAGTGAGGCACTGCATTAAATATTCTACAAAAAAGGCTATGAGGCCAGATCAAAGGCCTGTAAACTAGATGGAAACACTGCCATTGATGTTAACAGTGTTTGGATCAGTCCATAGATTAATGATGTTACTGAAGTTTCTCTTTGAGCAGTCGGCGGTGAGATGTGTAAAGAATAGGATGATATTATGGGGCAGAAGAAGGGAAATGGACCTCACTAGTATTTGTGAAAAATTTTGCCAGTGCTTTGATGTATCTTCCTTCACTGAGTAATTACAATAGATTCAATCATTCTTCTGAATGTAAATGCAATTAAACTATCATGGAGCTTTTCTGACGATAAAACATTTTTATTTTATCTGAAATTATGGGGCTACGATGCTTTTGTATTTCAGTTAATTTTAACTTTAATTATTTCATAAAGACGCTTGGCTTTGCTTAGACAGAAGCCAGGGGAAGCTTTACTATTGCCGTAACAGGGTCAGTGGTAGTCCACTGATAAGAGTCCATGAAAAATCTGAAACCTACACCCACATGCATTGTGTACACATATATTTGTATACTCCCATGAACATATATCCCATAAGAAAGCTGAATAAATACGCATGCATGCAAGTACATACAGTGAAAGAACAAGCCATATATGTAATATACATCTCAATTTTCTCAGTTAAACATAGAATACATGCATTGATCGACTGTTCTGAAGCATGCTAAAGGATACATTCAATAAAAATTAATATAATTCAGAGCTCTTAATACACAATTGATAATACATACTGATCTCTCTTTTATTTGGCTGTATGTTTTCAGCCTATGAAAATAATCTCAAAATGTGGTGGAGAAAATAGGTTTATTAACAAGTTAACTAAAACAGTTGTTGTTGGGGGGGGGAGGGGAGGGAAAGCTATGTAACTTATCTCAGGCTTCTTAATTTCTCTTGAGGGGATCTTATTTTGGACAACAATATTGATTTCTTGTGCACCTATTGCCTTTATTTCAGCTTTTACCTGTCTATCTGATACATTTTTTTGTTACACCTCAGGATGGAGCATCAGCCAAGTTGTCTAAGGTAGTCTACATTCATCTTGATAGCAGTAGGTAAAAGGTACATTTCATATAAGGAAGCAAGCATGAGGTAGAAATACCTATGAATGTTTAGTCATATCAAAGATACCTGCAAATATTAAGAAGCATTACACTATCATGTGATTTTGGTGGACAAAGAAATCTGAATTGAGAGTGGTTACTGATCCCAGATCATGTAGATTGACTGATTCTGGAAGCTGAGATGACATAGTTTCATGTCACCAGTCAAAAGAATGCTTCAGACCCTCTATCTTTGGAAGGAAAACATCTGCCGAGAGGTTCTGCGCACAGGTGCTGCACATGGCACCCTTCATCACCTGCCTGTATTGCTACCAATTCAGGTGCCTCTGTATGTCTGCTGGGTGTGACTATCCCACTGGCTAGAGCAATGCTTCTTCTCCATGGGAGTTGCAGCCAGCTGGGACCACAGTTGTTTAACTAGGGGGATTAGGCTGAGAAGACACTGATGATGGGGTCTGCATTGTGGAACTGGCTCTTTGAAAGCAGAGTCCACCCCTGGGTCCATGATGCCTTGTGACACTGACTTATGGTGACCTATTTCCCAGAACTGAGTAATGTGTGGAATAAGTGGTGCTTAAATGCTCTATGTTGTGTACCTGGTGTAGGTCTGAAAGCTGGAAATCAGTAGCTGCTACTTTTAAGTACTGGTGAAATTAATTGGATAAATTAATTGGATAAAACTAAGGTAGGATAGATGGCTCACAGCAAGCTGGATTCAGAGACAAATCAAAGCAAAATGTCAATTAGTATCTAATGAAGAGTTTTGTGTTCAGGCAAATTTACAACAGCAAAGCTACATTTAATGAAAAATATATTTCCAGCCTTTTTAATGGTGATCATGTTTTGTGCCTTGCAGAAATCCCCAGAAGATAGAATTAATTTCTTCTATGAAATCCAGTAAATGGTCTACATCAGCTGAATATATTAAGAAAAATGAAGTATTAAAAAAGGTGGGAACTGTAAAATCACCCTGAACATTTGACTTCATTGAGATCAAAATTAATGTTGCAGGAGAAGTAGTCACAGAACGTGTAATGTCCCAGCATACTAGGAAGTTATGACAAATACATACTCAAGTTTCTTGCTACAAACAAGGCAGTATTAATAGCACCAAAGGTTTCTTTTGTGTGCATGCAAAGAATAATAGATTCTAAGATGTCTATCTTGAGGTTAAAGAGTGACATTACCTAATGATATGCTAAAAAAATGGAATAGCCTCAAAGAAACAAGAAAGAAGTTTACAGACATTTCAAAGAGACTGTAAAAACACGGAAACTTTATTAGCATTTAAAAATATAGCTTGCTTGTTTCCTCCTTTATTTGCACCACAGAGTAGACAGATGTGGGATATATCCTACAAGCTAAGAAGCTATGCATTGAAAGTCTGACCGTATACTGGCAGTCTGACAAAATAGTTGAAAATGGACATCATCTTGGGACAATCTTTAAAGCATTTTGATATAACAACATTCCCTAGGAAGAAAAGTTCTAGACTCTGTATGAACATACAGAAATTCACAGTCCCAAAGCTGACATGTTAGTTGTTAGCAGTATTAGCTTCTCATGTGGGGCCTGAGGAGGAAAGAAACATGAGAAATACTAGTAGTGATGGAACGTAACCCTCAAGTATGGTTGCAGGGAGAGGTAATCCTGCAAGGAAATCCCATGGGGTGTAAGAAAGCTATTGGAGGGCTTGGATAGAGTAGAGCTGGCCCCTCTCTTCTGGTCTTCAGCAAGAAAATCCAGAGAAACTTTCAGGAGCTCTCTGGAGAAGCCTCGTTTTGATGTTTCCCTTACTGATCATTACAAGGGTCCTGACTGTGCTGCTCTCTTCTCCCATCACAGAACCCTTCTAATGGGCTGTAAAAGGAATCCCCTCCCAGGGGTCGTTCATAAAAAAATTGGCTCTCAGGAGTTGTAAGACCTTTGCAGCCATGTGGGACGCCCCACTTCTTGAGCCCAGCAGATACCTTCCCCAGCAAATGTGATGGCAAGGCAGTAGAACAGTTGGAAGTAGATGTGGGCCTGCTGGGGTGGCTGGGCTGGTTGCCAACCCACATCCCAAGACGTGGAGAGTTTTGCTGTTGCAAAACTCTGTTTCTCTGCTAGATTTGCAACTGTATGTTTACATGTTATTTGCCACAAGAAGCTTATCTGGTCTGTGAGACAAGTAGCTTTTGACATTTCTGAGTAAACTGTTTAAATTATCTGTGGGAAGACATTTAAAATGCATCTGTCTAATTAGAGGGCCTTTGTTTATGCTAAGAAATAACGAATCCTTACGGACAAATCGGAATATAATTACACAGTGTGCTTGCCACTCTTACGAGCTACTTCCCAGTCTGCTCAGCACTGAGGCCTCCTGCTGCATTCACGTTTTTTTCAGATGACTTCACTTCTGCTTGAGAAACATGTTGAGACCTCACTGGGAAGCAGACTGGACTATAACTCTCAAGCGCCTTCAGTGAGTGGAAACACAGTCCCAGGGACTAGTCCCACTGGGAATAAAACTGAATAAAGAATTAAGACTAAAACAGAACAGATTAACTGTCAACTCCGTGCAGAATCCCCTTGGTGACTGCATAAACCCTTGAGCTGTCTCCTTTTTGGAGGTGTATGTTCTCCTGTTGCTGATGGTCCTGCCTCAATGCTGTCTTGAGTTGCCCCAACCCATGTACATGAGTCAGATGTGGGTAAGGGAGCCTCATGCACGCTTTCCTCTTGGATGCAGTGTCACTCTAGTTATAGCCTCTGCTCGAGTAGGAGGCAATGACTGGTCTTTTGCCTCTTATTTAATAGCTGAGTGGAAAGGAGACGACCTGGGTACACTGACACTGTCAGCCTCAGGCAATGGAAGCTGCTCCATCTGCTCACTAGCATACTTACCTGCTAGGAAAGCACACCAGTGAGAGGACACAAGCATCTCCCAAGCTCCCCAAGAAAGAGTTACACAGCTGCTTGAGATAAAGGGAGTGGGTGGGAGATCCTGGTTATTAGACCAAGGCTTTGCTTTCTTTTCTTGCCACCATTTATCTTGTTTGGACAGTAATTACAGAAGGCAAGATAAAGAGCCAGTCACTGGAAATTAAATTCAAGTTTCTTGGCATGATTCTTCTGACCTAACCATAAACTTACACTTTTTCAATAAGCAAAAACAATGAAATGATGTAAGGGTGTTCAAAAAATAATGCAAACTACTGGTATTCTCTGAAAGGGGCACTATGCCCTCAGCAGGTCAGGCCAGTGCTTCAGTCTGAATATTTGAATAAGGCTGAGTGTAAACTGCCATTGGTTTTAAATGAACAGCAGAAGGATGGCAAATAAAATACACCACAGCAAGAAAACAAACAAACAAACAAAGTAGATGCAGCATTTTATTTAAGGGTTGAATTAGGTATTGTAACTTAAAGCGCGTGTTTATTACCACAAATATTGAAACAACCTCCTTAATACTGCCATAAAATAGGTGCATAAAAATGTTTATCTTGTTTTAAATATTCTTTTTTGCTTTATATCTTTCAGGGTCTCCTTTCAACCTATTTCTGAATTAGTATACTTCTGAAGAATAAATGGGATCTGAAATGAATTTAATAGGACATCACCAGCTAGCCACTGCTGATGGATTTTCTATTGCTGAAGGTCCTCATTTGTTTGGTAAGTCAAGTCACCAAATAGGTTAAAATAGCAAGCTACCCTTTACTCAGAAACCTAGAAGAAAATGTAGTGAAAATTCAAGTCAAGTATGTGTGGTCGACATGTGCCAACCTTCTTGAATTTTCAATACCTATAGAAGGAATAATAAATAATGGGTCTGTGGTGTTAATGTAGACCTTGTATGTAGGCTGGATGTTATCTTCATGTGATTCATTTAAATGAAGCTGAACAGACATATTTTCAGTTAATTTGCAATAAAATTATACTGCAATGTATCTGCATTGCCATATTCTGCAAATTTATTTAACCTAAATTAAAACCCTTGTCTTATTGAGACGATTAAAAACTTACGCTAGTAACTTCAATGCACAAGAAAATTTATAAAGAAGGCTGGAAAATTATCCTTGCTTCAGTTTCACTGGATTCTTCAAGGCTAAGCATGGGTTTGTTAGTGAATGAAGAATTCTTGGTCAGTATTTTAAAAGCATGGGGAAGCTGTCCTCTGTTATATGTACATTTTCTAGCCTTTCTTTTGGCAGTAGAGGAGGACCTTCATTGAGTAACATGATACATTCAGGGCCTCACACTCAACATGGACCTCCCCCTGAAAGCTGCAACACTTCAGGAGTTTCCAGTCCAAATAAGACCAGAATTCTGTCTCTGAATTCAACACTGAAGAGTGCTGGAAACATAGAAAACATTTCAGTTTCATCACTCTGAAACAAGAATAGTAGCTTGGGTATGGAGGGACTCTGACTCTGCAGCCACATGCTCTGTAACTTTGTGACTGCAGAGCTCTTAGAAGTTGGAAGCATCCCTCCATACCAGACCACTTCTAGTGTCCTGGCCCCATACAGTTGAACTGAAGCACAATCACTAATGACAAGCAAACCCAATTGCAATACAGTGTGTTACAGTGTTTGGTGGGGTTTTTTTTCCCCTAAATGTTTTGGGTTTTGGTGGGATAAAGGTTTTTGCAGTTGTAAAAGTACGAGTAAATAGCTAAAATGTTTCCTTGCTACCTGTTAAATCCAACCTCAGGCTATGATACAGAAAGAGGAAAATAATGATCAAATCTAGGGTGCCAAACTACATATCCAATCATCCCTTTGAAATTCCTGCATAACTGAACTTCTTCACATTTTTGTCAAGGAGGCTTTCTCCCTGATGCCTACTTTTTCACTAATTATTTTATTATTTTCAAAGAGTAATGATCAAGTAGCTTCAAAATTCAAGAAAGCATGTTAATGTAAAACATTTTCCCTCCATGCTGAAATCTTACTCACAGGTTGTGAGGTCTTCAGAAGAGGGATTTTGTCTCCCATTATAGGTATTCAGAGTTTAGCACATGGAGATTTAATTCAAACTGACATTTCTGTAACATAAATAATATATTAAGGGGTTGAATCAGGGGTGCCATTAGGAAAGAGACTTAACACTCCTGCTGTGTTTGACTTAAGCTGACTTCTATTTTGTATAGCCTTGGCCTTGTTTTGCAGGATGCCACTCAAGTCTCAGAAGCAAACTCTTTACAAGTTTGGTTTCTTTTGCTTTTATAGCTGGAAAAAATCAGAAATAATATGCAACTGATTCCACAGAGAAAGTTACTCATGAAAATATGACTCTCTTCAGAATGCTTGTAGGAAATGGTTTTGCCTCTCAATTTTATATTTGTAGACTACTTGCATTTTTTGACATTCAGTTTTGGCAGGTAGAGACTTTGAACCCAAGGAAACAGGAAGAAAGTTTTTCTTTTAAATGACCCTTATAATATATTTTTCTTCTAGGACTTTGCACATATTATAGCTCTGATGCAATACAAGTGAGAAATTGCTGGCTTACAAACATCAGCCTTTATACAAAACAGTTTTCTTTTTGCAAAGATGCATACCCATATTCTGTAAAAAACCTTGGAGATATCTTTTCATTATGTTTCATTCAGCCTACAAGGGAGAGTGTTCTTAGAACTTCAAAACCAAATCTGCGTGCATCTCCAAACATAATACCAGGTCCAGGTTTCTCAAAAAAAAAGTCAATTGTGAGTTCCTTGTGCTGTGAGCCTCATCACCATGGTAATTCCAGGGCACTTCTACGTACTCACCCTCAAGATTTCTATTTGCAGCTGGTTTCAGAAGATCTTTAAAAAAGAAAAGGTTTTCTACCTTTCAGTAGTTGCAAATTGTATGTCGTTATTTTAGCAGTATAAGTCTAAGGTAAAGTATCTCTTCATGTCTTTGGAGCTGGTGTGTTTTAACTGTAGTTTTTCACTTCTGTAACTATGAGTCCCCAGAAAAAGGGGCTTAAAATGCAAATGAAGAAGAATCTTAATTGTAGCAGAAGTGAGCATCCTTCCCTTCCATCCTGTCTTTCTGGAAAACAGCTTCTATTTTTCTACCTCACTACTCAGGTGATTTAGAAACATCCTAGATCTCTTTACAGAAAATATCTTTTTGATCAAATGGTTAAAACTGGGTATATGAAATGATACATCCTTTATAGCATCTGCATGCGAGATCAATTTTTCCTTTCTTGAAACTCTTGTTTTCCCAGTGAGGGAAAGTGAGGCTTGATGACAAGAAATCCTGGAGGTGCATGGGACCTGTCCTGTTAAGATGCTTCCCTTCATCAGTCAAACCCTGGTTTTATTTTGCAAGCCCCACTGAGCTGAACAGGGCTAGCTATGTGAAGAGTGTCCAATTTCACATCCTGAACTAAAAGGAAGTTAAACACCTACCAATCTGCGTTTTTTGAACCTTATAACTTACGACCGAAATCCTGGTCTCCTTTAAAACCTTTGGAAGCTTTGTAGCTCATTGTAGAGCCAGGATTTTAACTTACCCTATGGATACTTCTACCATGATAGACATAGGCTTATGTGAGCTCCTCTGCTTTGCTCCAAATGGACTGGACACATGCTGTGACCTAGAGGATGCTGAGGTGCATTAGCAGAGCACGGTACTTGACAAACCTTGCTCTAAGGCTTGGCAATTCAGCTGGGACAGCAAGACTTGCAAAAAGATATTTGATTATATCTTTCAATTGCCTTTGAAAGTTTTTCATATTAGGGTCAACACATGTTAAATACCTCTATCTCCATTATCTTATTTCTTCTAACGGTTATCACTTGCCCTTTTTTATAAGGGACAGAACTAAGCTTCAGACACCATATTCTAAATGTGGAGGGTAAGCTAATATATTTGTGCGGCATCTGAAGTATATATGGCATTTATCTGTCACTTATATAAGGAAGTAGCGGTCCTTTAAAGTAATAGCCCCATTCTGTTTTCTGTGAAAGAAAAGGGTTATTAGTACGCACGATATTAAGTATGAAACTTCAGCTATCAGACATGGAATTGTTTCTAAGAGTCTGGAAAGATAAGTCAGTACTATTATATGTTTAATTTGAATAAAGACCTATTTTAAGTGTTTTTTGATGGCCCGACAATGTTTTCTTGTAAAGTGACATCAGAATATAACAAGACAAGAAATCCTACCTTCATTATACATGTCCCTAGCTGAGAAAGAAGGTTTTGCAGTGAAAGCTGTATTGAAATGGACAAGGGAGAATAAACAAAAAATGACATGTAACAAAATGGAAAACAAAATGATACGTCTAGACTAGTCTTAAATATTTGACAATGTAAGAATAATAAAATGCCAGTGAAAACTGTTGTAGGCATAGAATAGTGCCTAAAATGAGCTTAAATGTCTCTTCTTTCAGAAAGGTGGTAGGATCAAGTGTCCAAACTGATTAAACAGCTTCAAGATGATAAGATATGTTAAATAACTATTTGTCGTTAGCACTACCCAGCAGATGATGCAACATCTGGCTTCATCCCTGCAGAGAAGATAATTAGGCCTGTAACAAGCCCCCAAATCAAAATTAAACAAACCAACACAAATTAAAACAGAAAATGGTGTATGTATAATAATTATGAAGAGAGCCAAACCAAACAGAGTGACAGTCTGAAGGAAAAAAAAATTAGCAAGAAGGCCAGGTTGGACGGTGCTTTGAGCAACCTCCTCTAGTGGAAGGTGTCCCTGCCCATAGCAAGGGGAGGGTTGAACCAGATGATCTTTAAGGTTCCTTCAGTCCAAACTGTTCTATGTTTCTATGAGAGAGAATGCAGATGAATGGGGCTCTGAGGGTGACGGTTGCATGACTGAGGAAGGCAAAACCAAAATGCATTTGTGGATCTTAGCCTGGAAAGGAAACAGGTTTTTGAAATGAAGTGAATCTTGCAGTCTGGGGCTTGATTCTCTGCCTATTTACTTCCAGTTGTGATTCTTAAATATCTGGTCACAAATTTGATGTTGGGTCTTAGTTGGCCCATCCACAGTGCTAAATGAAAGAGGCTGAAGACTGAAAGAGGCACAACACCCTTACTGTCCATCTTGACACTATTCAACTCTTATCTTTCTCTAGGGCTCTGTTTTGGATTGCTTTAGTAGGTGTTTTTAAGACATGGGCTTACTCTAGGGACTGTTCCCAAAAAGACAGCATGGACAAGACTACAGTAGGTTTGGGTCCTTTTACCTTACACTGTCCTTTAACACTGGCTCAGCAGGGTTTGTATCTTCTGACTTCATGCTGTCCCAGTAGTGCTGTGGTGGCATTCAACGCAGCCCTCACAATGTTACCAATGCTTTGAACTGCAATGCCATATATCAATAATATCTGAGAGCCACAGGAAGGATACATGGGCCTTGAAGAGGTCAGCAACAAAGACTACGTAGTGCAGATGCATCCTGCCCACTCTAGAGTTAAGAATTACCTCTAATCTACATAGATGAGAATCGATCTGTGACATTTGGCCTTGGGACAAGGACAAATCTCTGGCACTCTTTTATCTTGTACAGATGTGTCCAGTATGGCCTGAGAACTTTGGTCTTTTTTTGCGAATACATTTCTCTGTTTAAAAACAACTGTTAATCCAGTCAGCTAAAACATGGTTCTTGTGATATTGAAGTAGTTAATCTATTGCACAGAATCACCTGACATCATTACTAAATATTTGCTGATAAAAATTTTGTTGCAAATAAATCACAATAGGTAACAAAATTCTAATGGCTAGGCTACTTGAAGGCATCCCCTTGAATAGTAATCAAATTTTATCCAGTTAAATCCACACCGGGAACAGACATTTGTATTGTTTCAGACATTTACAAACAAGTTTCTCTGTAATGAAGTTAATCAGTAAGCTATATAACCTCTGGCCTGTGTCACTCCTTCGCTAATCTTAAAGAAAGTTCTCACAGCAAAGGAGTCAACAGAATACAGACAAAGCAGAAATAAGAGGTTCTATTTATATGTAGTCTTTGGGGCTGGGGAGAAAAAGAGAGGGAAAGGAGGACTGTGTGCCTTAACGATAGTGTTTTCTTCAAGAAATGATCAGACTGAAGACAGCCTAAGGTAGGATACTGTTGTGTTCTCACTTGGGCATGTTTGCCGTCCTATTCTTGCATTCTTCCTTGAAATGGGATGCTGGAAGGTTGTTTAAACCAAGTGATCTTTAAAGATCTGCAAATAATTTGTTTGGAATTAAATCAGGATTTCGTTAATGGTTATGCTATGCTTTCCAAATTACTTAACCCTGAATCTTGTTCTTATTTCTTTAGGTTCCTTCATTAACATCCTACAGAGAGCCAGAGGTTCATATTTTAAACCTGCTTAAGTTTTTTTCTCTTCGATTTTCTTTATATTAGCGGAACAATACATTTTAAATTAACATATGATTTCGTTGTAATTTCTGTAATATTGTGAATAAAACTACCTTCAGTCTACACATAACCTCTGCATAATTTTGCAAACTGAAAACACTTTCTTTAGTTTTTACAAAGAATCTTTCACTTCTGTAAGTGGTTAGGCATATGGCAAATATTTTTTCAAGTCTTACGTAAAATATTCTATGTAAAATTTAAAGGAACAAGAGTAAAACTTTCTGAGTTTCAATTGCAAGTGATATTGTGGAAAAAATATTGCAAAATGATGACCATATCCATGTGAAGGTTTCAGTTTGATATTAGGAAGCTTTCCAGATTTCTGTAAAACGTTTTTCATCGAAAAACATTTATTTGCAAAACATAATCTAGAAAATCTACATCTGTAAGTAACATCACATTTGTGTGTGCTTAAGCTGTCTTTCATCAGAAATATAAAAGTATGTTTCCAAAAGAAAAACACCCCAGATATTTCAAAAGAGTTAAGACCACAAAAACATAAAGTATTTCTGTATTCCAGTAAGCTTTTTTCTGATTTCACTTTCACTGCTTATATTACTGCAACTCCTGTGATTTCACTGGGCTGGCTCATGCATTACAGTGGTGTGAGACCAGCCCATCTCAGTCTTCTACTAGTATGTATCTGGGTAAAAGCAAATGTACGTTCCGGTTGGCAAGATAAGATTAGTTTTCTTTTGAGATAAGAAACTGTTTGGTCTAGACTCACATGTACTTTGCAAAGCATAATTTCACAAATCAATGTGTTTTTTAAATGTCATGCAGGGCAGAGAAGTGCACATTGTGCCCCTGAAAGTAGAACCCCTTCCGCTTTAGTTGGAAGCCTTGTGAATGCAGAGGGCTGGGTAACACAGTTCAAACCATGCTTTTTTGATCAGGTCATAGAAATAGTTTGTCCCAGTCATTTCAAAATATCTAGTTTCTTTTTCAGCCTCATCATTTGTTTGAATTTTTTAAAATAATATTTCAGAGTAAAAGGACATTACAACTAAAAAACCTGAAACAGTTTAATTATGAAATCAACTTTATGGAACACATCCTCAGTTTTAAACAATTGCTTTTAGTGATTTAGATCACTAATGCTTTGGAGTAGACCCTTTCTTGCAATGTTTAATGCTAGACTCGTAGTCAAAATAAATTGAGAACTGGTTTTGATCTGCTCTGGATAGAGAATTGTGTCTCACTGAGTCAGCCCAAGTTGGCTGGTTTCTAAGGATGAAATACAGATACTCTCCAAGCCCCAGTATCTGAGCACTTCCCAGAGTTTTAGCTGTAAACCTGTTTTGCATAAAACAAGAACATGTTTTTTCAGTTTCTCTTGACCCTTTCTGTTCCTTTTCCCTTCCACTGCTCTGAGCATGGACTGAATTCAGCTGAATTATTTAACTATGTGCCTGAGACAGAAGGAAAAAGGCTGGTTGGGGTTTTTTTCCCTTATATTTAACTTCATACATTAAGATTCAGATGTTTACTTCCCTCCAGAAACAGATAGATGATTAATGATTGAGAAGATTTTACTAAACATATCAGTAGCCCCAGTGGATCCACGGTAGTTTAAATAAACACCCAATACTGTATCAGGATGTGCTGCAGCTCTTTAGCAGTCCTCGGGTTTTTAACAAGCCCTGAGATTATTTTTTTGCTGTCGAAGGAGTAGTTGCCTTCTCTTCATGCTCTTTCAGAGGCCCAAGCAGTTCAGAAAGTTGTATAGAGCTTTTGTGGAATTTCCTGTGGATGGCATGAAGTTAAAAATCAATTTTTTTTTCTTTTTATTTTGGGATTGTCCCACTTTCCTTTAGCAAACTCAAGCAACTAAGTAATTACTAACTAGCAAATGGCTACTTGGGTCTCCATGGTAAAGAGACTCCTTTCAAAAGAGACTGAATGATTTGCATAATGATTGTATATTTCACAGTTAGCACCAGTTTTTGCACCTGAAGTACCATAACCACTCTTAACGAGCAGCAGTCTCAAGAAACAGTAAATACAACCGAAGAAGTCCACCCACTCATTAAACCTATACCGATCGATAATGGCCAGCATCAAATCATTGCTGTCCTCACTTTTTACATGTTTTTTTTAATGCTGCAGCTAGTAGGGGTCAGTAACAGTTTTTATTTGATGTATGAAGTTGTAACTTCCCCTCCAGATTCTTCCATAGAGTCCCCAGGTGCTTGTATATTTTGCCTCATGTCTCTATATGTTTATGCTGTTTATTCAAAGGGCATAAATTTGGGTTTGGGGAGTGCATTCTGCTATTCTACTAGAGAAGTACTTGGGTCCCTGGCCTCTTCTGCAGCAACTAAATGTAACCATAATTAAACTAATTGTTAACAGTAAATGGCACAATTGTTCTCATTTGGTTTTGTGTCACATTCTTCCAGACCTAGATCTTGCTGCTTATTCTGGAACTGGGACCTCAACATTTGTTACTGGCAAAGATGTGCTGTGGAAAACACAGCAATCACACAAATCCAAAGCACTTGTATGGCTTCTGCAGCACAGTAAAGTAGGAAAGGAGAAGGCTGCAGAGCAATAGCATGAGACCTTGAAAGTGGAAAAAGTAGGTGAAATGAAAAGGTTCTCCTTTGTGTTACTTCAGCACTAACTGAAGTGAGACAAAAGAGAGTGAAGAATTCCCCGCTATAGATTTTAATTATCATTGTCATTACAGATGTTCCCTCTTCTTAGCTGTTAACATTTCTTCATTGTTTCTGGTTCCTCAGAAGTGAAGCAGACTTGCCAGGGAACCCATTTTATGTCAGCAAATATATATTTGGAGTGTTTCTGAAGCACTGTTAAGTAATGGTCACCAATGAACATCAGTGTATGATTTCCTTGTAAATACTGCTGTTGATTCTAATATAAGTGGGACTCAGCATCTTCCTGGAAATATGTACTATCTTTTTCCTATTCTCTTCTTGGAACTAATGAAAGAATTGTGTCAGTGTTTTCATGAAACAGCAAGATGTGGCTTTATCCAATAGAAAATATGAAGTAGTTTGCAAATAACTTTTAAATAAGTCTTTTCAGCTGCTTTACATGGGCTTGATTTTAATTATCCCATCCAGGAACTGCCAGATGTTATACTTGTACAGAAAAAAATCCCCAAAACCCAAAACTTACTTGCATTTGTAAACCTGATATTTAGTGGGCAAAGTTCAGGTAGCCTCCAGGTACTGTGTTAATCCCAACAGGAAAGGTTGCTGTTCCTTGTACCGCTGCCAGGTTTGTTGTTGTCTCAGGGATGAAGAGGGCTGGCTTACAGAGGTGCTTCATTTGTAAACCAAGCAACTTCACTGAGCGGCACAGGCCTTTAGGGCCTAGGGACCAGGCTGCAGAGGCTGGCTGGGTGGTCATTGGAGGCTGGATGGCAAGAAGGTCACATTTCACCACTTGTATGAGGAATAACTTCCCTGGTCCTTCACTTTCCACTTTCAGGCTTTTCTTGAAGGTTTATTTTATGTTTTTAGCCTTCTAATTAAGCCAAATTCTATTTGTCTTTCCCTAGTCCATCTTTTCCCTGTCATGGTGTATTCGTTCAGAATTAAATAAAACTAACACGATGTTAGAGTCTTGAACTAACTTCCACCACTGGTTTTCGGCTTTTGGTTTATTCTGTGAGACCTAGTTTGGGTTGCTAGCTTCTCTGTGGTGTGGACTGTTCTTTCTTATGAAATGAACATTTGTATGATTAGCTGCATGGTATCTTTCAAGATTCTTTTTTAATGTATGTGCCAGCACCGTACATTTCTACCAATACCAAAGGAGTGGCTGAGAATAGATAAGTTACTTTAAAAATATTTTGCAACATATTTGTGTAGGGCCAGGACCATGGGAAACCTAAGCTCATATAATACAGTCTTTATGATTGTGCCTTGTTTTTGATATGGATGTCTGTAGTTTCATAGTAGTAATAGAAACTGGTTTTGCGCTATTATTTTCCAGGTGTCCTTTCAGACCCAATGAGTTCTCCAGTGCAAGAGGCAGATGTGTCACCTTACACGCAGTACAACAGTGTGCCATTTCCCCAAGTTCAGCCTCAGATCTCATCGCCGCCTTATTACTCCAACCTAGGGTTCTACCCTCCGCAGCATGAGGAATGGTATTCCCCCGGAATGTATGAGCTCAGGAGAATACCCTCAGAGACCTTTTTCACAAGGGAGACAGAGATGATGGATATCCCTGCAGCCAAAAAGCCTAGACTGGGTCATTCCACGGGAAGAGTGAAAGGAGAAGAGCTCTGTGTGGTATGCGGTGACAAAGCCTCTGGGTACCACTACAACGCTCTTACTTGTGAAGGATGCAAAGGTAGGATGAAATCAATTACAGAATGAAATTTAGCTAATAAGCACAGCAGTTTCTGAATATTTTTTTCTTTGTTGATAATTTTATCTGAGTCATTAAGCATTTTAGACATTTAAGTTTGGATCTGGTGTACACTATTCTGTATTTTCCTCAAGACACATTGGCAGCATAGTCCATCATTGTCCTTGTGATTATAGAGCACAGTTAGCCAACCTACGGCTCCATTAGCTCTTGTTAAACTGAAGAACAGCTTCCATGTGGGAGCCTGGCTTTGCTGCCTTGGAGGCTGTTCATGCTGATCTCTGCCTGTGGAAGGAACCAAATCCATGGAGCCCCCTGGGAGTTCAGTATGAGGCTGCCCTTGAAATCAGCTGCAAACCCAGCCCAAATACCTCCTGATGTGTGCATGTAGGAAGTGAAAAGGAAAGTGAAAGGAAGTAAAAGCTGTCAGTTCCTACCTGCAAGTTGTTCCCAGAGAATCTTTTCCCCAGCTCCCAAAGAATATGTTAGGTGTCTTCAGGTTTGTGAAATGAAAGGATTTCTAATTCTAGACTTTCTATGAGACATAGCCTTTATTCCTAGGGAGAGAACATCAGGAAGCAGATGGTATCTGTAGGATAAATATCTTGCTTCTCAGGAGAACAGTTTTTACAAGCTGGTCTCAGGATAAATAGGATATACGAAATCATTGCCATTATTGGAAACAGGATTGCCAGCTATTTTAGCAGAGAGGGACAAAAGGTTATGCTGATGGAATAATTATTACACCTAAAGAAAATGGCCCAGTTTTTTATTCTATTCTGTGAATAAATATTTCATTATCATTTCTGTTCTAGGAGTAAAGCATGGACATTACTGAAGCACTAAAATATTTTATGTGGAACTTACTGTGCCTGAGAGTAGACTTTGAACTAATTTGGGGTTTTTGTTTTATTTATTACAAATTCATTTCTGAATGCACAACAGATCACACTGGTCAACCACTCGAAACACGAACACAGTCAAGGGTCGTGTAGTTTATCTCAATAATTCCAAAAATTGAGATTTGTTTCTTTCTGCTGTCTGTGTGAATAGTCTCAAAGTCAAAGATATGAACTAACTCATATGAAGGCTGTCACTATAATCCAGATAAAACTCAATTATCATGTGAAGATTCCAAGAAATGGTACCTTTGTTAGTAAACTATATCTATTCTTCACTAACTTAATGATTAAATGTCAGCAATTTTTCAAAGACTTACAATTGCATACTATGGAATTTGTAAAGAATGTTTCTAGGAGAAAGGTTAAAACCACCACGTAAATACTCAGACTAAAACCCATGGTGGAAGGAAATAAGAGTTCATCTCTCTGCTGATTCAGTTTGAATCATTCTATGTAACCATAATTTTACTGCTTTATTGGGACAATCTATTTTATGTTTTCACTCTGTTTCATGACTGCAACACCAATTACAAAGAATAGTACCCTTGATCAAACATAGTAAAAGTTGAATTATTTAAAGATAATACATTCTGTTTCTACTATAAACTTTAGAGGTGATTAAAGTACCAGCTGATTCAGTAAAAAGATGTGCTGAGGGTAGTAATTCTGTTTGACAAGGTGAAGGGGATACTATATTTTCTAGATCCCTGATCATTCTTGTGTATCTGTGGTACTTTTTACTTATGTTATCCTCAAAGCATGGTGGCCAAAAGTGGGCTCGGTACTTCAGTTGTCTCTTATCATTGCAGTAGAAGAGCTACCTCACATCCAAGAACTGTGAGACAGAACTGTCTCACATCCAAGTATGAGATTAGCCCTTCTTTTTGGCAACAAGACTGTTAATTCATGTTCAATATGCACCCAGAGTAATATGCAGGTCCCTTTCTGCAGGACTAGGGCTCACCTCACAGCACCCCTGCTCCACTGATGCCATGGACACTATTATTCAAAGGGGGAGGCTTTGTGCATATTTTTATGGGACTCAATCCTCTGTGATGAGTATGTTGGTTTTTTTTTTCATTTCTTTCTTGTGTAATGCATTCAGCAACACCCTCCATTCTTTTTGTCTTTCTTGGGCAGAAGGAACAATACTAGATATTATTTCTCATCCCTCATGAGAGTATTAATCTAAAGATATGGGCAGGAGTATATACTTCTATATATCTTTTAATACATTACCATCCATCAAAAAGTAAGTACAAACTATTTCATTAGTATTTTACATATTATGCAAAGGCAGATTAAACAGAACATTTTCTCTCATACAGTATTTGCCCACGGTACTATATAAAAAGAAAATGCTTCCTTGAGACTTCTCTCACCTCTAATATATCACTTTAGAAGATGTTGCCTTGATTAACAGTAATAATCAGTAACATTAGAGCAGCTCTATCCATAATTAATCATACTCAAGAGTAGCCAAGAGAACAAAGCAAATTCAACATTTCCAGACAACATGAGCTTTTTGTAATCTGGCAAGATCGTATAAAAGTTAGACTGTGCTAGAAAAACCTTCAGCTTTGGGGGCTACCCCTTCATGGGTCTAACAGATGCCTTATGTAATTTACATCTGAATTTCTGTGAAACTCCTCCTGGTATAAAAGGTTACACATAAAATATTTTAGGCAGTTTAAGTTCATTTTGAATTATCAAGGAGTAATACATAGAGAAATTCCATTCATACCAAAAAGCTAATTTCAAAATTAATTATGAAGTCTGTTCAAGAACACAATGATTCAAGAGTTGTTTTATGATAAAACTGAAGCTACTTTTTGCCAGAAAAAATATTTCACTTTTCATTTCATGTGATTTCACTTTTCAGAAAATTTGTTTTCAAGAGAAAATATTTGACTGCTTGATTCCTGTTGATTCCTACCTTTTGCATCCATATTTTTGCATACTTCTTTCACACTGTTACATACTTTATAAAATTCATTTACTAAAGCTCTTTTCTTTGCTATTCTATGTGAAAGCAAATGCACGTCTGGGGAGAGTGAGTGATAAAGTCACCAATCGGACTTAGAAGTCATAAATATTTGTACAGAGCTTTTCAACAATTACTATTAATTAATGGGCCATAAATTACAGGATTTAAATTTAATAAATAGAATTCATTAATGATGTAAAGCTGATGCATTTGCCTTTAACTGACACTGAAAACCTACAGCTTAAATCCAGGCCTTTTTCTCTCTTCCCTGACCAGTAAATGTATTAAACAACACATGAATGATGAATAAAAATAATGCCTGGGACTGCTGGAGGTTCTAAGTAATCTGCATTTCAAAAGAGACTGATGCCACTCAACTGTATTTATCTGAAAAGCAGCCAATAAAACTGACAACATAGAAAAGATTTCAAGTAGAAATTACAGTAGATTTAGAGAAATAATGACAGATTTTTTGTGACTAGATGGTTGAATTGTTTTACTGGTAGCTACACATTGGTGCTTGGACGAGATTATAACTATAAAATCATGGGCCAAAGTTGCGAAATTGTTATCTGACAATGGCAAAATCATGATGCCATCTGTTATTTTGGTAGATTCAGCAGG